TCCTGCTTACAAAAAGACCTTCTTAACTTTATTAAAACAGAAAATGAATGGAAATGTAAATCATATCAGAACAAATAGCCTGATGTTTTTCACATGTGCTTCTTTTTCTAACCAATCAGTTAACCATACTAATCAGATCTTTCAWCATAATTGCCAGTCCTGCCAGCACAACCCAGCTATGATCTTTATTTTTCTTCTTCTTTTATAAGACTAAATCTACTATGTGCCACAGAAATCAATAAATACAGCCTCTCAGAGTGAGTGACAATAATTTGACTTCTGTGACTGCAGGTGTATTGCAAGACTGTATTGCTGCATGTCTTCATGAAGAGGTTCACTTTTTTTTYCCTCATACATTTTAATGGAATTTCAGCAGTGAATCTAAAAATGCACAAAAGGATCTGATTTCTCCCAGTCAACTTGTCGTACATATATATGTATATATAAATACACCTATAATATGCAATTAAATATCAGATGACCAGAGCGGAGAGGGCAGCACTGATTTTGTCTTTGTATTTTTAACAGAAATGGTAAGAAAACCATTTATATCTGGTAAGATAAACAGCCATGACTCAGCATGTACATTAAAAGTTAGGACGAAGGTTTCAGATTTTCATAAGCATTACTACCTAGTGATAGYGATATCAAGCGAAGGCTCACAGTAGGATGCCACACAGACAGGAACARCCTGTGTTTTCRGGTACCACCAGCTACAGCCTGTGTTTTCAGGTACCACCAGCTTTGCATCTTTAATTTGSGCACATCAACAATTAAAACAGTRCTAATGTTAAGCTCATCTCTAGAGGCTTCAGTTTTCTTGAATTCTGAATTGCACTGAACCTCAGGGAGGTGGGAAATGCTGATGGCACTGTCCTACCAGCAGTGTCCCCTGAGAAACTATGTCCCTAAGGCAGTCATTTAATAACACTATCATGACAGAAACCATGGCAGTCTGAAGGAAGAGCAAGGCTCCATCTCTATATTCATATGGTACGAGAGATTTCTCTGGTCTTATGAGCATTCAACATGAAAAGGAAAGGCATGGAGGGCATGAGAGAGAAAGGAAAGCTCTATTTTCAAATCAGGGAACAAAGACATGGAAAGATGAAGTTTCTTACTCAAGGTCACACAAGAACAGCTCAGAGTTCAGTTCAGGAATGGGTTCAGATTGACTCATTTTTGTCCAGAATTGAACTGAAAGAACAAATGAGTGTTCCCCACATGTTTTGAGGAGAAACCACCTTAGCCTAATGCTAAGCAGCAGGAAATAGTCAAAAGCAAGCCAACACCTACACCCAGTGGAGTGACTTTGGCAAAGGAGAAGCAAAGCAGACCTGCAGTGTCAAAGATTTTCGACTGTCATTTTATCAAGATAAAAAATAAATTAGAGGAGGCAGTTTCTCTGTGAATGATCTGTAATGAAACAGCCAAAGCCCTGAACCCTTCTGCCCTGAATGTCGTTACCATCCATTTCCTCGGCAGAGATGTATGAGCGATCAGATGAAACACGCTGGGAAGCCGTTGTGCTGCAAAGYGTTGTTCAGAGGCTGCTGCTTTTCACATCCCTGCTACAGCAGTTCAGCAAGCGCCACCGGTGCCTCATGTTCCCCTCGCAAATAACAACCGCGCTTGTGACAGGCGAGGGACCTACACGACCGTGTGATGAGGGACATGGGGATGAAAAACTTCAGCAGGAAAAAAAATGACTTTGTAGTTTTGGTTTTACTTTGTTTCTGCTGCTGTTCAAAAATCAAACAAGGGAAATCTGTTTAGGCTGAAAACATTCATCTGCTGAGTGCCCCGGTGTGACAGGCACCAGCCCTAGGGCTGCGCATACGGTCCGGGAGAGAAACAAAGGATTAACCTTTGAGCTAGCAGCACCTTGGTGCAATATGAACATTTGCTTTAAGCACAGCTAGTTTTCTCCTGTGCTGCCACTCAGTGACACACTGTTCCCATTCTAGTTAGCTCAAAGGAAATTTAAAACAAAATTGCCAGCAAAAATAGGTGTTCTCCTTAGTAAAACTTGTATAATTAGCACAATGGACCCATATGGATCATAAAAAGAAATACTAATCATTACTGGCTTTTTCATCTATTTGGAAAACCATGATGACTGCACCCAGATTAATAAAAGAACATACCTGGTCAAATCCTGCCAGTAGCAGGGGACCAAAAGCATTGATTGAAAGATGACTTTACAAACAGTTTTTAAGAATTCTTTCATACATTGTAAAAACTGACAGGAAAATTAGGACACTGTGGTCATTTGAATAGGAGATATTAGTGTTTGTGGCTTTAGATGATATTTATATGATGCCAAATGTAATTGGTTTACAGGAAAATTGCATGCGACTCAACGGTAGTAAAACTGGGTCAGAATCCCAGTTCTTGGCAATCAGCAATGCTCTGTGCACTGCTGGTTCTGGTGTCTGCCCCCTCTTCACCCACATAGATTCTAGAGATTACTTCCCTTTTGTGTTTTTACAATAGCAGAATAGTTCTGAACACACTGTCCTTGTTTCTGTTCAGAAGACAACTTCTTTTACTGGCACTGTGTCACTRTCAGAACAACACAGTCCACAGTTTTAGCCTTGAGAATCACTATAAAACCCCCTGYGCTGTGGTTCCTGCTCTGACTCCAACCGCTATGTGCAAACATCAGCTTTCTACTGCCAGCACTTGCATCTTCCTCCCCTCTTAGCAACCATCTCCACTCCAGAGATGCAGTGATTTTTCGGGGCCTCTRGTGAGCCTGCATCTACAGTTCTTCCTCCTGTTCAGAACCAGGCAAGTCCTTAGATGAAGTAGAAAGGCCTGGAAAGATAACAACTGTACAAACCTCAAACAAACCCTATCTCTTTGCTCATCTGCTTCTTATCTTCCTCCTTCCTGTCTTCCAGGTCAAGCAGAACATAAGCCTGAACAAAAAGAGCTGAGAGGTTGCAGTATAAGGATCAGCTGTGTCAATCTGAGGGCTTCAAACAAACTGTCCCAGGGACAGAGATCTTAAGATTCAAGGGAACTATGATATGAGCAAAAGAAAAAAAAAAAGCTACTATTTTTTTTACATTCTAAAAGATATTAAGCATGATGTGAGCTAAAGGAAGAGCCTCCAAAAAACCTTAAGTACATAAAATATTGGTCATCATACCAGGAAGCAAGGGCTGAATAGCACACTTCTTCATATGCCCATGCAGAAAATCATGCATGCCCACACAGTCCTGTTCTGYCTTTTCTGACATGTCTGATATTCTTCTCTTGAGCAAAAATAGAGTGGACATGGATTTTTGCTGAGCATCTTGGACTGTRTACTCGGTATACCTGCACAGGGCAGAACTAAATAGAAAACCTAGAAAACTAGGARCTTTTGTGATATCTCCACCTTGTTTGGAAAGGAATTAAATACCTGTTCTATAAGATGACAGCTGTTCTTTCACTGACTGGTTTAATTTTTCTAGTGAGTGGTGTGAATTTTTGTTACTGAAATAAATCAGTAAATACTTTAGTGTATATGCACTTACACTGCTATAATCACACCTTCTAGTCCTATAAATTACATACATCTGGAAAAAAATCATTCTTTGTTAAATATCTTTTACTGTAATGTGTCAGCTTAAAAGTCATTGTCAGATTGGGTCAAATTCACCCCAGAGTTTTGCTGTTTGCACTGCAGTCTCTTTAATTCTACAAATCCAGAAGTAGGAGCTTGGGATTCATCAAGAAGGGAGAGCAATACCCAYGGCTGGAGGTTGATCAAGACTGTTTCATCTCTCAGAGCAGTTCCTAACCTCTGCTCCATCACGTATCTCAAAATAAGTGTTCCATTTAGATTTCCTCACAAGTAGACTCACATTTCAAAACRTGTCCTGATATATAGCATGCAAAAGACCCTATCTGCTAGTGGAGATGTTGCATCCAGACTCTGGAAAATACTGCAGTAGTGCTACCAAAACCAGAACCAGCGGAAAAGATAGAAAAAAAAAAACTGCTTCAGGTTAGATATGTTTTTTTAGTACACGTTATTGCTTTTGCAAATCAGGACACCTGTTTGCTGAGGAAAGCATCAATATTAGAGATGTAAAAATCCTAACCCACACCTACAAACTCAGCTCTAGAGGTTATCTTCATTCCTCCTTCCTCACTATAGATGACAAATACTACGGAGAGGGTCAGAAGTAATTTCTATGGATATTCTAAGCATTATAGAGATGTACATGTTCCCTTAGTATAAAAAAACATAACTCTTAGGATTTATTGGGCAGCTATGTAGGAGAAAAAGGCAGAAGTTTAAAAAATATCAAATTTGATTAGGGAAAAAAAACTACTTTGCAAATGCCATCATTTGGGAGCCTATAATAAATCATATATAAAGAACTGCTGATCAGCTGAAACAGGAGAAAAGATTCCATACRTTTTCTGTAAAGATTTCATAAAAGGAAGGAGGAGAGTGGAATAYTAAGTGAAGTTAGAGCTGTAAGAGTAAACAAGGGTTCTGATTAGACTGACTCAGGTTCACATTTGCAATCAATTTCAGACTTAATACTGATGACATCTTGTGATTTTAGCTCCCAACACCTAAGCAAYATGCAGATCCCTGCAAACCTGTGTGATGGGGACAGATTCGCACATGCATTTTTAGCCATGTTGGGTTGAATGCCAGTGTCAAACAAAAACAGAAGTTCAGTTTCAAACACAGCAGGAAATCAAAAGCACAGATAAGGACAGTTACTGGGATTCCAATCTGCACTCTCCAATCTTACTGGAAAATTCCCCAACCAGGGCAGCTTTTAATCAGCTACTTCTAGTTCACTCAATGCAGTGCAATGGACTTTCACTCTCCTTGTTCCTATACACTGTCCCTTAGCTCTCATGGCATATTACAACCCAGCCACACTCTTTTTTAGTTCACCTCTTCACTTTGCAAGTGTTGTCTGGCAAGAATCAGACTGAAATATATCCATAAGGCCAGGGATGCACATAAACACAGRCCCTACCTCTTCCAATTGGACTAGGAAAGTGACGTTGTGTCCTAGATCAGCCGTCAGTTTGCCATCAGATGTGASTATGCGAAGTCCCTGGGGGGCTTTGCCAGGACATTGCTGCGGTTTTGCTGTGTACTGTTCTCTCACACCATCCGTGCAGTTATTAGAAACAACTTTCCGGTACCTGCAAAGAAAGAAATCAGACAAGATGCTGACATGGAGAATAATGGGGTTTAGTAGAACAGGCGAAATTTTGCAGGTCTCTTTAGACTGATGAGATTAGAACAAAACAGGTTCCAAAACTATTTTAGGATTTACCTTAACCAGACATAGCAAGTGGGCCCAACATGTTAGTGTAATATACCTGTTAAGAGCATTTAGTATTTTGCGGCATAGCATATCTATATGCCACATAATACATAAATTGCATACAATATATTATATTAACTGTGTTTTTAAATAATATTACATGTGTAGAATATGTACATGTATACTTTGTTGTTATTTGTTGTTGTTATCTGTTAATAGATTTTTGGACATAGTTAAACAGCTTTTCTCACAGAACACCAGCCATGAAGCAACACTTCCACGGCTTTAGAAATGACAGAACTGAAGAAAAAAAGCTAATTTGGTCCATCTTTTGAGTGTACAAAATGCCAACAGATAGCTTGCATTCCTATGTTTTAATTAATGCATCAAAAATGCTGTTGGAGGTCATTACTGTGACTTTAGCTACATCTTCCATTGATATCCAAGAAGGCCAAAGAGCAATCAAACACTCAGGATAGCTGCCCATTGATTACTTCTGTTCACACATACACCAGTTTCAGGAAAAGGTCTGGACCATTCCTGATAGAGATCTGACAGGCTAGACTGCAAGCTCTAACAAATTTAATGAAAAAGGGTTTTAGACGGCTTTGATTCACCTTTAGAAAATCCAATCTTTAGCTTGTCATCCTTTAAGGGCTGTATGGCTGCTAAAATACCCTCTTATTGTTCCACTTACCCAGTGCTGTTGAGATAACTCTGTCCAAGGCTACAGTCTTTTGACAAGGAAGATGGGTTATACCAAAATGCTGGCAAACACTGTCCATTGCTGTGACGTTCATATCCGTAATCACTGTTTAAGTATTCAAAGAAGCAATCACAAGAAAAACAATCAAACATATGCACAAAAATAACCAAATATTAGCTTCTACTCTCTAAAACTGATTTGTTTTTATTTTCCTCAGATCTTTAAATATTCTTCATCTTGCTTTGATTTTTGATTTGGATAGTTACCCTAGATATATCCCAGCATAAACAAGAGCAGAAAAATTTGTTAAATTCTAGTCCAGTAATTCATGACCTATTGCATTACCTGTTTTCCCTCCACAATTGAAAAGGTGCAACACYAGCCTTAAATACAAAAAGCTAGAGATCTAAACCAATTCCAAACATGGCTGTCTCATTCATTTCTTAAAAAATTGATACTCTGACGAATTAATTTTACTTGAAAACAGTATCACATGAGCTGTAGAGGAAAACTACTAATAATTCTGAGATACCTATATGTTTTCTGCTAATTAGTTACCATCTTCATCAGACAGAGGGGACCAGGATSATGCTGTTTGTGTGAGCACTACAACTTCTATTTGTGCTGATCTCTGTGTCTGGCCACATATGTATGTATTGTGTATATGTGCACATGTGTGCATATAGTGTATGAATCCTCCTCAGGCTCCAGCTGGCGGCTGGGAACAGGGCACTGCAGCAGTCTTGCCTCTGTCAGGCTGCCAGATTCAGTAGCTCCTAGCAGGCAGCAGAGTGATCAATGATATTTGTAGGATAATAGCAAAAAAAAATAAATAAATAAATAAAATTTGTGAGAATTTTTCCAAATATGTTTTTCTTGACGGACCTAAACTTCCCCTTAAAAAAAAAAATAAAAATAAAATAAAGTTTACTGAAGCAGTGTTAAACAATTTTAAGAACTTCAGTACTGATCTAAGAGGTAAGACAGGGAAAGGGAAAGGGAGTAGGTTTTGCAGTTCRTTTTCATTCTACACTGTAACTTTTCCTTCTGAATCAAGAAATRTATTGAGGTAATCTACAAAAGCAGAAATTAAAAAGATGACATTAAAAAAGGAAAATTAAAGCTGCATATCACTGGGGAAAATTCCAAAACATCCAATAGACTGTGAATAGCTGCTCCAAAGGAACATTTTGGCAGCTATGCTGCTCAGGATATCTATAAAAAAGTAATTAAGAGCACACTGTAGAAAACAGCAATGATTTTGATGTCCTAAATAGTCTTTTCCATAGCTTTTTTGTGCATGAAATTTCATCAATCTTTTTACTCAGATACTAGCAATTGAATATTGCTTAATTGTTTTGGAAGCATCAGTCAGTTTTTTCTCCCACTGCCATGTGCTCCTCTAATCATTTTTGTTGGAAGAACACGACCATTGCGGAAAACACTTTATAATAAGGAATAACATTCTGATTTGCTTAGAGAAAACAAATATTTAGGTACAAGTGGGACCCCTGTATTTTTGTAATTCAATTATCAATTCAGCTGCAGTACATCCTAAGTTATCACTTGTCACTCTAATTAAAAACACTRTATACACAGTGTGTTCTGTAATCAGGTGAAAACTAAACAATATAGTGAAATCTGCCTCAGAGAGGATCAGTATCCACAGTCCAATTTAATACTACTGCCTTAGTCTGTGATTTCTTATTACACACATGTCCAGCTTCATGCTGTAACTTTGGTTCCTATTAGTGCTACTTGGGCATTGTACTTGCACATCTGGGCAAGCAGAGTTTGAATTAACTAGCTCTCACTATAGTTGGGCCATATTCCTCAAAGTCAAGAGAATGAAATTTCAGGATCTTCGAGGGCAGAAATAGTTCTAAGGAGAGACGTTTCACAGTGGCTTTTACAGGCTTGCAAATTGACTGGCTCATTAAGAACATACAGAAATATCATGCTAGCAAATGACATGAATTGCCGCTCCACGTCTCTCTACAGATGCACCAGGCCCCCGTTCACCTCTGCAGTCTTGGAGTCTAATGAATTCCTTGGCTACAGGCTGATGCACACACAACGCTGATGCTGACAACAAATTGCTGCCTACAGTTTGGCACAACAGGCTTTGTTGCAATCTGCAAGCATTAGCATCAATTGGATTGCTGTGGCATGAGCCAGTATAGCAAAATCTGGAAACCGGGAAGGCAGCAGCTTTAGGCTGCAATCAGCAGGCCAACTCATTGCCAGGTAGCTGGGAACAGGACTTTGCRTATATTGACTACATTTTACCCCTGCCTGAGAGGAACTCAGGTGAAAGAGATAATGTACTTATCAAAAAAGAGCAGAGCATTTATCAACATGGATTATTTTATCAGTATGAAGCAGCCCAAGCATTTGGCTTAGACTAGTACTGGTTTTACACTGGGCTCTTCTACCAGTTCAGTCTGTAGTTCTATTTAGGAAGGAATGCAAGCTCTTCTCTGCAATTAGAAATGGATAACGATTCATTCCTTAAGTTCCGCATCTGTGCTTAAAGCTGATGGTAAAATTGCCAATTAAGGGTTTTTTTTTTTAAAGGAAACTAAATACCCTAAGAAATCTTATAATTTGAATATGAACCTGCACAAACACATTCATGCAAGAAATGTAAGTCCATATAAAATTATTAAAATCTCATGTTCTAACAAATCAATAATATTGATAATTAGTTAAGTCATATGGGTGATTGACATGAAYTAACATCTAACCACAGGACAACCTTAACATTGAACATCTTCACCTGAAGCGCATAAATCAGCCATGCTAGAAGCTGAAAATGCCACTTATGATTTTGAATTTTCCACTTAGAGATATTGAGTGGGATGGAATCAAGCTATCTGTGATCACAGCCACTGTTGTTCTGCAGTTTCCAATAAACCTCTTGGGGGGGGGGGAAAAAAAAACAACTAACCGTAGCAGTGATAAAGCTTCACAATCATTTAGTATTGCTGTTCATGCTAATCTATGGAGTAAATGTAGATTTCTGTTAGAGGGGATGTTATTGCTTTATAGAACTATATGATTTGAGATGGTATTTTTCTCAGAGAAGCATCCATTCAACCACAGTGGGCACACCTGGCTCTAACTGGTATATTAGTAGGAAACTTAATATCTTCAATCTTCCCAGGAAATCCATGCTTGGTAGATATGCAAGATGTCCAAAGATGTACAGGGATGCACAGCTGATCTTGCGTAGTGAACCTACGCTTTTCACAATCATTCAGAATTACTTTCCATCAGCTAACCAAGCCCCCATCAATGGTAAAGGCAAAACATAAATGTACCTGTGCAAGTGCAAGTCTTATTTCAGAACAGGCACATGCAGGACCATCTGCAATGATGAGTGGTGACACACAAAGCCAGCTCAGTCTGATCATACCCACTATCTGCCTTCTGTCTTTCCACAGTTTATCAGAACATTTTCTCATGATACAGGATTGACATTTTAGCGTAAGAACCAAAATTAGCAGTCAGACCTGTACGCTAAGTGCCAGATAACAAAGAACCATATCCTTGCTGATACTATCAATGCCACGAAATAAACAGAATGGATTCTCAGTTGCCTGGAGATGCCTTTGCCTACCTGCGGGTATTTAGACTCACCGCCACCACAGCAAACAACATCATACTCCCCACGACGGTGCAAGACACAGGAATACTGACTGGAGAGGCCCTTGCTATTACCGACAGTGGGTTCAGAGGAAGGACTAGTAGAGTAATATTTAACTCAGAGTTTCTATTAAGGGACATAAAATACATTCACTGAAGAATGAATACCACCAAAGATTTCCATCTCCGTCCAAGGCGCGTTTCAACTGAAGAGATATTGCTGTAATAAGGCTCAAACGGTTGGAAGGAACACAATGTAAGGAAAAYGAGTAAATTAATGCTTTAATAACACACCAGTAGCAGTGTTATCCATTTACTCAAATCAATTAAATGAAGAAGCACAGTCTTGTTTCTAGGCAGTTGCTAGGATAGATTTGCCGAAGGCTCCTGCAGGTTCCAACACCACCTCATTGCTGAAGCACCATTGCCCTCTGGCTGCAAGTCCTAGTCCATACACAGAGCTTGGAGGAGCTGCAGAGTCTGCTGTGTCCCCAGCTACGTTGGGATCGAGCCCGTGACAAGGGATGGCTACTGTCAGAAGAGCTCAGGTTCCCAAGGCTGGAGAAACTACAGTCGGTTCTAATGTCACTCAGCTTTGTTGCTGTATAAAACAATAAACAAATGTGCCCTTTTCTCTGGAAAAGAACTGCTGTGAGCTGAATACAGATTTGAAATGCCCCCTGGGAAGCCAGGAGAAAACTGCTATAAATTGACTTTTTTTTTTTCCCTGCACTGATAAGATGACACACTCRCAGGATTAATAGTACTAACCATCCCCTCCCCCACACCTTTTTTTTCTTTCTGTTTTTTTTTTTCCCCTTTAACACTAGCAGATCAGATGGGCAGATTTTTTTTCTAAGCTCTGATTAACTTGGATAATAAAATCTGCATTTTCTCCATATAAATCCAGTGACCAAACAGCAAAAGAAAAAAAAACTACACAGCAGCATAGATTCTTCCCCTCTTTATGTATAAGTCTGGATCCTATAACCATGAAGTCAGTGTATTACAACACTACCCAATTTATTTCARGAATGTAAAATGAAGCAGGGCCAGCAGAACAGCTTCTACCTGCTAGGGATACCCACATCCTTCAACATCCTTCACCTAAGAGCTCTCTCCAGCACAAAAMGACAAAGTCAAAAGGACAGAAGGAAAGTCAAAAGCATTGCTGAAATGTTGTGAATGAGGGTGACAAAGGCACTCCTTGCTTTTGCAGGAAGGATTCTGCAGAAAACTTCTTGCCACAGGGAAAGATAATGCCCTGATTTTCCTCCCTGCCCCTTTGGGCTGGCCTATGCAGGATGCACTGAAAGTGAGGCCTCTTGCAGAGCTCAACGAAGTGGTCGCTGAATGCTGTGGCACAGCAGCAGGTTTGTCATTGTTAGCACAATATGGCTGAGAAATCCAGAAGCAGCAGAAATGCTGGGATTCTGYTATCTCTTTTCTCCTTCCTTGAAAAACTTCCATCTTCTCTTCCCAGTGGCTTCTCTGCCCTCTGAAAACCTATGCAAAACTATGTGTTCCTGACTGTATTCAGTAGATAAATAACAACAGCAGTATGGAAAGAAGCTGGAATGGATAAAGTCAAAATGCAGATCTGAGGAAAAGAGCTCAGAGAGAACTGGAGGGGATGAAGAAAGTCTGCTCAATGCAAAGCTAGTTCCATCGGAGGCAGGAAAACCCTCTTTTTATCAGTCAGCTCAGAAAAGAGACCTGGAGTACCTGTAAAGCTGTTTTTCTCAGACTATTTTTAACAAGGTAACTTACAAAAAGCCCCAATTTTGCCARTTCCAACAGATGTGAGGAGTGTCATGGGTGCATGTGAACTGTGAACGTCTTTCATATGCCCTCAATCATTCAATTTCTCTGAGAGATTCTCTATGACCCAGGAGCCCTTTCGGAGAAAATTTCCACTAAGAGAATACCAAAGAGATAAAAGATTGTTTCCATTGGCAAAGAGTCACTATACTACTCTTGTTTTATACCTAGCACACCTGTTTTTAATAGCAAATCACATAATCTTAATAAAAACATACAATAAAGTCCTGCAGGGAGTGGAGACTTATCAAAAGTGTTTTCCAAGTGCGTGTTGATTATCTGTTTAAGAGAGGTTTAAGCACTAATGGATCAACACCTACCTTCAGTTATCTCACCAGTGATATATATATATATACACTCTGTATATACTTTTAATGTATATATGCAGAGACATTTTTTTTTATGCACACTTTACACTAACATATGTGCCCTACATACTGCTTGCATAGGTACTAAGTCTAAGTGGACCTTTTATCTTCATGTGAGACTGCAAATGTGACTTGAAGAAAAGTCTGTCCAGTATCAATTCAGGGAAGCCTTAGAAGAGACTAGACATATCTATTCCACTTTTCTTTCGATACACTTTCTCAAGGAGCCACCTGCACACACTTATTAATTGCAGCTCTCTGCCCACATTTCTAGTGAGCCCTGTATAGGTGAGGAGGAACAACATCATTTTAGGTAGGTCTCAAACATTTCTTGCRCCCGTTGCTTACCAGTCAAAGTCTGCCTCTGTGCACACACATGGCTCCGAGGTCATAGCCCCAGCATACTTCCCTTGCATGCACTTCTTCTCTGACTTGCGCTTCCTGTAGATCCTTTTTGCTCCCATGATGCAAGCTTCTCCCTGGAAACAAATCCAAAAATATCCTTCTCTGACATCCACCAGGATATTTGTATTACTAATTTTTTTTTCCAAGCCTGTGCAATAGAAGCTGTGACTCAAGAGAAGGGGATGACAAGTCGAAGACCATGTCACTGCAGTGGAATTGATTAAAGCTATCGAAGCTTTAATTGAAGCTAAAGCAGCTTTCCTAATACACACCAGCAAATTATCTGGGGTTTCTTATATTCCTCATGTAGTTCTGAATCTGTTCCAAAGCCAGATGAGATTTCATTCAGGACCCTTTCTCATTTATAGATTAGGTTTCACAATAACAGAAAACACAACCTGAATTTGAGATACAGAGCAAGGATGCTAGTTTGGTCATCTATTTATTGCTAATCTCACACAATGGGAACTAATAATGTGTGTATAGTAAATACCTTCCACTGTTAATGTTTTACAGGGCATAGACCATTATGTGCTAGATGTTAATACTTCTTTATCTTTTCTCTCCTATCTTGAACATCCTTCTAAATATTTCTATCTAGAAAGGGAGCCTCTGAGTCTAGTAATCTCAATGGAAAGCATATCAAAAGGCAAGAGTCCGCAGATGCCTCCCTAAAAATAGCTCTACAAACTCCTAAGCTAACAATCTTAAATACACACTGCAAAATCACATTTTTGCTTATGCAAGCAGAAGGCGGCAAAGAACAAAATACAGTGGGGTCTCCCTTGTCATCTTTTACCCTTGTAAAAGTGCTGGATGAAAGAGAAACTTTAAATGGCTTTGATTTTCCCATGAAAAAGATGGACCAGAATGGTGTAAAATGTTGTTCCTCCTTGAACTTATATAGGAAGCAGTACTGATTTTCCTCATCTGGGCATTTAAGTCATAACTAGCATTTTTAGTGCGGCTGTGAGCCTTGTGTGAGCAGCTAGCCTGAGTCAAGCTACTTTCGTTTTATATTCACTATCAAATTCTTGTGCAGCAAGATAAATAAAGAAAAACTTTGATGATATGAACCAGGTGCATCTCTTCAGACTTCAGTGGAGCCTAGGGTGTTTATAACAGCTATAGAATTTGAGTCCTATTTTATTCTATTCTATTCTGATTTCCTTTATTCTATTCTGATTAACACAGACTGCCATGACAGACTTGGCAGAGCTGGAAAGGTGCCCCAGGACTGGCACAGAGCGCTGTACAGAGCATGTTAGCATGTTGGGGCATGTGGAATAATGGCTCCAGGAYGGAATATGCAGCAGCTGTAATCAAGATGCTAGGAAGAGGGCTTAGGAGAGGGGCCTTAAAATCCTTTCATTTCTAAGCTGTACTTCCAAGTGTCAGCAAAGAGACTGGAAAATCTACCTCTCCTCAGCAGTGACTTTTATTCAATAGATAGACAACAAGCCAAGAGATAAGTGTTTATTCCTTGGGCTCACAACAGGCAATCTGAGGTCAACACRTACCTATGTCACAAAACAGAGATGTTCAGATAGATAGATATCCAAAAATGGATACACCAAGCTGGCATGAAAAAACAGTGGATCAAACCGATCTTTAACTGTAGGATCATTAYCTCGGATCATGTCCCAGCCTTCTTGTTTCTCACCTGGCTATGGAGTTGCCAAGGCCTGTAGTCCTCTTCTGCACATCTCCGATCAAAAATGGATTTGTAGTCCACTTTCACCAGCTGCCATTCTGAACGGTGGCTGAAATGTCCAAACACTCTACAGAATACAGCAAAAAGTACATACAGTAAAAGGGAGGGCCAGATGGAGTCTGGTAGTTACCCAATTAACCAGTGATTTCCAACAGATTAATTCCTCTAGGTGTCTCAGTGATTTTTATGGAATTGACATATTGATAAACATAGGACTCCCAAATACATGCAGCAACTCCACTGAAAATTGGACATCAATTTTATTGTGTGAATCGAGATCCTCCCGCTCATGTCGATCCCCAGACTGACAAAACAGAGAAGACTTGACATAAGGCTGGAGATCATGCTTCTTCATAGTCCTTCTAGACCTGACTTGCTGCTATCTCCATCGTTTTTGTCCCTGTAGATTAACTGGTTCTGGTTGACCACTCTAGGATTCCTCTGTACTGTATATTATACATTGCACAGTGTGGTTTTATCAATTAGTCTTCATAAAGACACCTCCTTTCAGATATTGTAATCTGGCTTTGCATGTCATCTCTTGCTGATATGAAACAAATATGAGTGCTCCAAACTGGTTTGTAAAACATTACGAAGGATTATTTCAGGATGCGGCTATATTTGCTGAACTTTGACTAACAAGGCAAGATATAGGAAATGTAGAATGATATTTCAGATTATCAATAACAAATGGGAGACTACACRGGTTTAGCCCTGAAATACTCTTACTATTATAGATAATGCAGATGCTTGGGGAAAGAAGGCCATTCACTATGTTTAGTGGTGTGTGTGTGTGTGTTTTCTAAATCTGATTTAAAATCAAAGATAATCTATTCAACCCCAATTCATTTTGCCTTTAAAGAGTTACCCACAGAATGTTGATATCTCAAGCACAAGCTTTGGACATGACTTCCAGAAGAATTAAAATCAAAACGCAAATGGATCATTCTCCAGACACCTCTCAACTCAGCTTGGTCTTTTCAAGATACATATTCTGTTTATTACAGGTCAGATCATTTTTTTTCGTAAACAAAAACTGAATTTTCTTCATGTTTTCCAAATCTGATCTCAGGTAAAATGTCACAATTTCTGGCAGGGTGAATCAGTTTTATGCACCGTGCAAATCCTAGCATACCAGATTGAAACTAATCACCATTGTTCATAAGTCAGCCCCCAGGCAACATTTTGCCACTTATTCTTGCACAAGAATGTCTTCATTTTCCTCTGTCTCAGTTAAAAAGCATTCATCTGTCAAAGATAACCTGCTTTAAATCACACTCAATTTAAGGAGTCAGATTTCATGCTGATAAACTAAGTGGTAATGTTTTTTCTGCTTGCAGCAAACTATATTGTCATTCCCTCAATCATAGCACACATAAACGTGGATGATTTTGCAACAGAAGACTGTGCACTTCTGGCTTTATAGGTAGATAGGTAGAATGCGCTTTGGTCCCCAACCAGAAGTGCTATTATATTACGAACAACYCTTGTAAGATATTTATGGTGTAGTTCCCATCAACATTAGCATGATGACATGCTTACTTACGTCATGATGAGAGTTTCCTCTCCAGGTTCCCCTAACACTCCATCAACAAACAGTGGGAGCGATGTGAAGCTGTATTTGCTCCAAGAGTTCCCTTCATCAAAACTTAACCTAGTAGAGAATGCATGAATTAGTATGCCTCCTTACCATCTTCCTACATTACCTGAGAAGACTATCCAGCCAAATACTGCCRATATATAGTAAACAGCATCTGGTGTTAGCTGCTGCAATTCTAGTCCTTGAAACAATAAATTTTTTTTTTTTTGAATTTATCATATATCAGAGCATTGTTCAAGCTTGTCTGGCACTACAGTGCTAAATCATAGCCAATACTTAAGTGGCAGAAACTAATAACTTATATTAAAGATTAAGATTTGCTTTAAGAGCAAAATGTAGACTAGGACTATTTTTTTAAAAAAAATAAATGGGTGTTTTAAGCATCCTAGTTTTTAGTCTTCACAATAAGACATTTTAAGGAGATTTGATTTTCAGAACAAAGAAAGCTTTGTCTCTTCTGTCCAATTGTCTTTCCTGTGGTTGATCTAAATGGAAACTTGGAACCATTCCCCTTTTCTTTAAATCTGGGTCTGCCTGTTTTAGATATTGATATGTGCTTATTATAGTGGCATACAAAATAGCACTGAACTGTATTTTGCCTCAGGAGTGCTACCTAGCGGGGACACTTTTGCTTTATTGATTATATAAGCTTGAAGCTCTTCAACAAAATTCTGGTCCATGATTGCTGCTCTCCATGTAGAAGACAATCTTATCAAAATTTTTGAAAACACAATACTTTGGCAATTTAATAAGAGACAATGCCCTATGCCAAACTATCAGTTGTATAAATAACTGAATTCAGGAAGTCAACTCTTAATAAAGTAGGAAACCTTTTTTGTTTCTTTGTGGAATTATGTTGATAATTTCTAAGATCAGGCCAAGGGGAAACTGTGTAAACTGGAATTGTCTTAACTGTCATCAGAAATTCCTCATCAGAATTTCTTAACTTCATCTAGAGGAACAGTTGCCAGATTCTTAACTGATACCTTCTAGATTTCTAGCTAAAAACAACATTGTAGATGCAGTCAATGTTCTGGCATTTGAAAGAAGGGATATCAGACTATCACACTTATCACAGCTGAAATTATTACCAGAGATGTCTGATAGGCAGGGATGTGTGCTTCATAGCAACAAGTACTCCACCTTGATCCAGGTATAAAACACTGTGCTCATCTTCAAAAATCTGGAAAAAGATGCATATATTTAGATCTGTTTCCTTCCTATCAAGAAAAGGTCATCATTACATCATAGCTCCTGATAGAGGATTGGGAATGTTAGGCAAATTATCAAAGAAAGCATTTTATATTGAAATAGTTACTTTTCTTTACTTATGTCTTTCTAGGGCTTTATAAAATGCATTATGCTTGTCAGTTATAAATATGAATTTGTGCACAGATAGTTGATTTTCCTCTTTTCAATGACAGATTTTTGAAGAAGAACAACTTAACATGATTGCACATATCTGGACCTAGCCCATATAACTGATGTGGAGGGTAAAAATGAGAGCTGGTCAAACACTGCAAAGTAATTAAATTCCCGGAATATCAAATATTTAAACAAATTTCTTTTCCTGTGTTTCTTTTGTATGTTCTTTCTGTGAACATCTGCTCTCCAGTTTATATAACATCAGTCATGAGTCTGGGAAAGTCACTTCTCTCTCTCTGACTTCATATTCCAGATGGAAAATGGGAATCAGTGTTTCTTTATTGAATATAAGCACATTAAAGGATAGCAATGCTTTGGCAACAATTGGGAGTTGACTAAACAGGCACTGAATTTTCATTATCTAGTCTTTCTCCATTATCAATGAAGAGGGACATGGATTTTGAACAAGTTGAACTGTGTTCTGTCTTTTTTCTCAAGTAACTTCAGAGCAAGGCAAGATATTTAGCTTAAATGCTCACAGACCTTTGGAAAACTCCTCTTAGGTGAGATGAATCCCACATTCATTGAGGGAGAAGTAGACTAGAATAACTGCTAATCTTTTGGAAGGTAGGATAATGGAGGAAGAGGAAATGGTTTGATGAGTACGAGGGGCACACAAAAGTAGGAAGAAACATTAGCTCTTCTTAGATATATTTTTTTTTCCTCGTCTATTTTACTGCAGGGTTAAATTAAAGCCAAACTCTGAGTAGTATTATAAAAATAGTTTTTAGTTATATGAAGSTTAATGCATTCAGCATTTTTTACTGGGCATATCTCTAGCTCTCAAGAGAAAAAAAAAAGCTTTCCCCTCTGTGTAGAGTAGCAAAAAAACTTCTCTGAAGCAAAATTAAAAAGATGAAGCATCTTTTTGAACCCAATTCCAYTCTACTTCCCTACTATTACTATTTCAATCTGTGATCTGGTGCACATACCTGTTTCCATGTGTTCCCAGCATCAGAAGAAACAAACATGCTGATATCATTCTCTGATAGTTCAGTACCTATATTACCTGTAAGGAAAATATTCATCAGCAAAGCAACATTTTAAGAAATAGCACARTGAGTCAACTGGGGAAATAAAGATTTTTGCTTTACCATTTGTATTTATAAAGCTGTTAGTCTCAGAAATTGAGAATGAGGGGAAAGGAGAGATTATCAATAATGCATACTTCTCTACACTCAGAATCACAGAATGGTTGAGGTTGGAAGGGACACCTCTAGAGATCATCTAGACCAACCCTCCTGCTCCAGCAGGAACACCTACAGCACGTGGCACAGGGTGGCATCCAGGCAGGTTTGGAAGATCTCCAGAGAAGGACACTGACTCCACAACATCCCTGGGCTCACACAAAAATCCATCCTCTCCCAAATTCAACCTTAGCATCTAAAAATCACAATCTGAATTTGAAAACCTGCATATCTACTCCTAAATTTGAACACCTCCATATTTGAACACCTCCATACAAAAAGAAATGTACCGAATTGAATCTAATATTCATGGAAGTACAGTACTAGAACTGATGTGTTGGGTCTTGAATGCCAGTTTCTGTCCAAGAGATGACAGCTCAAAGGTCCATGAGGACTTCCATTTGATAGTCTTCTTTCCTTCCTTCCCAGTACAGGTGGTGCTACAACATATGAGCCACTCAACATCCTCCCAAAACTCATCACAAACTCAAAATGTTTCTCAGCAGTTGCACATCATAAATAGGCAATTACTAAAAGCTCCATACCTGAAGCTACAATAATGCTGGGGGCAGTGTCTCGACTGGCGATATTTCCTGARGTATAGGGATTTTCTGAGACCTTCAGGTGAAGATGAAGGGAACAATAGGGCTACAGAGAAAAGAGAAAAGAACAATATGAAGCATTTCTCCTAGACATTTTATGCCTTGTAGAGCACAAGTGCCCTATTAGCAGTTGCTCTTGAGATTACGGACACTATTTCCCTACAGTTGTGTCCAGCCATTCTTAGAAAGACACAGACACTGTTCTGGTGCACCAGGTTTGATCCCATATATGGCCAGTGAAGCTATAAGGTCAGGCATCAAGACTTTTTCTAGCCCTTCAATAAGGGAGACACTCCAGAGAAAAGAAATTATCAACTTCTCTTGCTCCATTAGGAGAGCTGTTCTGTAATTCTCCAGCGCAACCCTTCCATGTTGGGAAACCAATTCACTAGGCTGAAAATCTTTCACAAGAACAAGGCAATACCTTTGAAGCTACAGGATACAGGAAGGAATACAGGATACAGGATACAGACACCTTTGAAGCTACAGGACACAGGAGGCAACCTGGCTTGCAGGGACAGGACTACTATAAGGACTACTTATCTCCCTTGACTGCTAGCTCTCTTGGGGAGCAAATACAGCCACAAATATGATTTGCATTATTATTTGCAAATGATGCTGTAATTCACAGAGCAGCATTGCCCTCACTAACTCTAGAGTGCATAACGATATAACCATACCATTGCTGTTAATTAGCCATGAGAGACARCTTAATTCAGACAGTGTCATACCATTTTTTGACTCTAAACTATTCTGACATTTGAATGTTGTACATTGCATTAGGTATAAATACCAGGACTAAAAAGTATCATTTTAAGAGTTTAAGAGTTTAAGAGTTAATACAATGCTTGATCACTCCATCTGGATGTGACCTTTGACAAGTCAATACAATGAAAACCTTACCTATATGCATTTTATATGTCAGGTACTCAAGCAGGACAGTTATACAGAATAATTTAGCAGAGTTAGTAAGTAGGCAGACAGAAAGGTGGGCAGATTTTCAAATTCACAGTTATCATTCTATGTCTCTGCAAATCTGTAATCTGGTAATTTGTGCCCATTTCTGATTTTTTTGGCCTCTTTTTTTTTCCCCCTCCCTCAAGCTGGAATGGCAACTATAAAAGAGTTTTTTTTTCTTTTTTTTTGCAAAGATTCTTTTTTTTTTTTTTTTTTTTTTTTTTTTTTTTCCCTCAAGCTGGAATGGCAACTATAAAAGAGTTTTTTTTCTTTTTTTTTGCAAAGATTCTTTTTTTTTTTTTTTTTTTTTTTTTTTTTTTTTTTTGGCAAAGAGGGATGTGAGCTCTCACTCCTCTGAGATAGGTTAAAGGGACACAGGGCAGCGAAGACTGCCAAGCAGAACACGCGGAGCGCCCTAACTCTAAGTGACAGCGTTGGGAGGTGAGCCGCGGGAGCAGCCGCAGGGGGCAGGGAGGGAGCTGAAAGCAAATTGAGCTGACGTGCATGCAGGAAGTGGAAAAACACTACAGGAGAATGAATTATTCCCTTTTACATTTTTACGCATTGTGAAAAGACTAAATACAAAACATAGTTTCAAAACTAACATACTTCATATCTACCCCCAAGACTCTGAGGACGGTAACAGTCACTTCCCTGCTGTAGAGATGACCTATTGTTGGGCTCAAATCTTTGTGTTACTTAAGGTTTTCTTTCAAAGTTTTCTCACTTCACAGATATAGTACACTTCCACCAAATATTACAATCCAGGACATATATCTAAGCAGATACGGTACTTTTAGTGGCATGGCTGCTTATTGGATTGCAATGAYAGAGACTCCAGTAATAATTGTGTTACATTCACCTAAGCTATTGCTTGCTGTCATCTCACCTGAAGACTACAGCAGCATTCTCCTCTCCACCCCAAATCCTTTATCCACCATTATCCCTATCCAATTTGTTCACAGGGAGGCTAGATAGTCTTCCATCATATTGCTGGGGTGTTTCTTTTCTGGTTCCCACAGCTTAACTTATGTACAGATATCTCAGATTTGCTGGTTAGATATTTCATCAATGATATTTCAAACAGATTGCAGAAACCGTTTTTATCATCTTAATCACCAGTTTTGGGTGTCTCTGCCACTGTCTAGTACTCAGCTGTGATAGGTATCACACAGATACCAATAAAAAAGACAACTGCTTGCACAGAACACTCACAGCCTAGGTAGAAAATGTAGCACAGGTGACATATCCCACTACCCTGTTCACTTTCATAGCTCTTGAAGCCTTGCTGAAGTTCATAACTTGCTTGTAATATTTTCAAGCAAGCACTTCAGTGCTCCACGCCTCTCTCAAAAGGCTCCAGAGGTCTGGATAAAACTCTTTCTAAACACCTGAATACCCGTATCATGGCATCACGGCTGTCCTGCAAAGCTCATCTGCACAGCCTCCAATGGTTTGACACATGCAAAGCAGTAGTTGGCAGGTATCACTGACCAGCATTTGCAGAATTGCCATGAGCAGGTCTGGGCAAACTTCAGAAGACATCCCTTCCACCTTGCAAGATGTCCCAGCACACAGTTCCCGGTACCATGTTTCAGCTAGAAGCAAATGCCATGCTTTTCACCTGTCTGTATGTCTAGGAGCTACTATTRTGAGTCTCTGATCAGAAGTGGGATAGTGTGTTACAATATAAGGATGAGGACAGACACTATCCAGACACCTCGGAGCAGTCATACTACTTGCTCACTTGCAAAGGAACAGACCAATGAAGAGAGCTAAACACTTCCAGGAGGCATCAGAATACCTCACTTAGAGGCTTAAAGCATTGTCACAGATGGTGTGAATGCCCTCCTTGTGAGAAATAGGCCTCTGTGCTGAAATAAYCCATACGGAGAAGATAGATAAAATGTGGGAGGGAATAAACAGATGTCTGGGGAATAGTGGCGCACAGAAAGTAAATGACTTGCCCAAAGTTACTTAGGCAGTTGGAGATAGGCCTAAAAACTGAACCAAGATTCTCTTGAGGTTCTGCCCAGTGTTTTAACCACAAAACCATCCTTGAAAGAGAACTGAAAGCTAATATTCTCCTAGACAGAGACCCATAAGTTACAAAACAGAACTGCTCTGAAGCTGATCACTTCATAGCACAGGATAAGTATCAAACAAAACCAGCCCCTTTGGGATTTATTTAATGAAGACTAAGCATATTTAACWTAGAAAACAAGAAGTGCAAACAAGATAAGCTTAGATGGAATTTTGTTGTTTCCCTTCATCCTCATTATTCAGAGCAATCACACACAAACATACACACACACAAAAAAAATCTAAGAAAAACTCTGTGAGTTGCTTTGAATAAAACACCTCAAGCGTATTGTCAGTAGAGGGATGGTTCCATCTGGCTTGACTTCTGTTTCAACCAGATTTGCTTAGCTGCCAACTTAGCTGCTACATGCTTATTTCTGTATTAACTTTCCCTCTCCAGGTTTAGAGATTAGATACACATGGGACACAGCATTGCACTCAGGCTGGGGACAGTCCTCTCGCTCTGGAAAAGGGCAGATCCCATTCAGATTAAAACCTGGAATGTACATCATTACCACGTCCCAATCTATTGCTAGAGACAATTATGCTGAAAGCCAGCAGTGTGAGAGCATTAGTACCTGCCCTGGAGTAATAGTGGGAGCTGAACAAGATGTACAACAAGCTATAGGGAATTTACTTAGTTATGCCATACGGACAGGCAGGATCATGCCAGGAGCAGGAATATGTGGAACGAGAGAGAGCAACTGACGCACGGAAGGGAAGCTGCTGGTGACGCACGGGTAGACAGCGTGACTGTGGAGATGGGAAGAGCTTGGGAATGGTTTAAATGCCACAGCTGTGCTGCACTAGGAACAGGATTTGTTTCGGAGCTGAGGAATCTGGATTCCCTGGTGATACAAGAAAGGTCCTGGCTACAGGTGAGCTAGCTGGGGGTAGCAGCACCCCGCGTGTGGTTAAGACATTTGAGCAGAACGGGCAACTGAAAGGCACTTCTCTGGGGTCAAGTAAATTCTGAGCGTTCAGACAGAAAGTGCACATCCAGCCAGAGGAAAGGTTTGTTTCCAAGTCAAAAGGAAATACTCCACKGTTCCAGTTTAAATGGTCACTTCATTTTTAAACTGAATGCAAGTTTCAAGAAAAGGTTAAAAAATAAAAAGATAAAACAGCTAGAGAATAAAACGATTTGTTTGACTGGCTTCCCCCTTTCCCCCAACTCAGCCATTGAACCGGAAAAGAAATTCATTATTTGCACAAGTAATTCATCATTTTCCTTTTCTCCATTTCCACTGCACCCCCAAGAACAGAATGCCCCTGTGGAACCCTATGACATTCTAGGAAAATACTCTAAAAATTCCCTTGCTACTCCCAAAGTCTGTGCTCTGCTCTCTATCATTTCTCAAACCTTGCACTCTACAGTCTGTTTTCACCTCTCCCGACCATTAACTGTGAAGCTCAAAGWACATTTTTAAATGGCTTGCCTCTCTCTTGGGGGACTGCTATTCTACCTTGCAGTTTTGGTACATATTCTAAAGTGCCCTCCTGCCTTTCTCTTGGAAAGCAACTGCTCCTGTAAAAGACTGTGCAAGTCAGTCTGTTTTAGATTTCTTCTATCTCTCATCTTGAAAAGTACCAAGCCAGCCAATTACAGCCAGTTACAACTGCACTAGTTTGTGATGACCTAAGCATGAAGGAGCGCTCACTCTCAGACGACACCAAAGGTCTCTGACTCATCTCTATTGCATGATGCCAAAGGGAAGTAGAAAAGTAAACATGTCTAAACACTGCTCCAGCCATATCATAGGCAGGGGCAACCCAATTCCTTCTTACTCTATTTCTGGAATAGTAAAGCTCGAGTGGCATAATTAAATTCCATTGAAGATCTGCCCTATGGCCTCTTGAAATCAATTCACAGATTCCTGGAGACTCCCACAAATGTCAGCCCAAGTCACAGAGGGCAGAGAAGGTGGTTGCCTTCCAGTGAAAACTGGATGACAAGTCTATACTAAGCTTGCATAGGGTGGAAGCACCACTCAGGGCAGCTGCGTCATTGCATGGAAAGATAACAATGGGCCAGTGTTTAAACCGTGTTTTGTGCACGGTGCAACAGCAGGCATGATGTGGATAGGAAGACTCAGGGGAGCCCTAACTCCCTCTTCCCAAGACAGCCATCCAATTCTGGTTTATAATGTCTGCTTTATACTCGCAACTGATTTTAAGGACTTTGCAAGTATAATCACGATCACAAATCAGATCTCTAATAAGCAAGGTGTAAGAAGAACAAGAAAGGCCTTTGGCTTAGCATTCAAACTTCAAATTTCTGGAAAAAAAAAATGAGGTTTACTTTTATGATTTTATAAGCCCACAAGGTTTTTCTTCTTTTTCTTTTTTCTTTATTGGAAATATTAAACTCTCACCTGAAAATCTGGAGTTTATGACAAAACTGTCCATAATTTGAAAAATGTTTGGTTTATAAAAAAAAATGTTCACTTGAGTTAAAATTAGGTTACAATCTATTTAAAACACAAAGCTTCTACAAAYGCTGCTTTCCAAAAAATGAAATGCTTTATGTCTGCAAAGTTTGCTGAGTGCCATCTTCTCACTTTTCATCTTAAAGAAAGATTTAATTTAGAATTGCCCTCAGATACAATTTTTTAAAAGACAGAGAAAGAAAACAAACCCAAGTGAATTTGGTCTTTCTCTGAAATAAGTCTTCTATTTGACCCCCAGTACTCCCTATTTATGTTTGTATTCTGCAGAGAAAATGAAATGACTTTCATTCYGGCTCTGTCAAAAAAATCAATTATTTGAACAGCTTCAAATACAAAGCTATTTATTCCTTGCTCTTGCAATAATGTGTGGGGTTCAGTTAAGGGATTAGTATAGCATTCAGTCACATAACACCATGCACATAATGTAAAGCTGATTCTAACCAATGATTCTATAAATTTACAACCTCCACAAAAAATTTTTTTTTTCCTCCTGTGTGTGTGATGGGAGGTAACCTGCAGGTACCAAGACTCTAAGAGGAAGAGTAGTTAAGCAGTAAGTTAAGCAGTAAGTTAAGAAGAGTAGTTAAGCAGTACCTTGTCTGAAGCATGTTACCATTTCTACATTTCTGCAGTGCAAAAGTTATTGAAGGTTCTAATGACTAGAGCTCTCTAAGCATTTTCCCAATATTGTGTATACATTATAATCATCAAAAAAATACATGCAGAAAAGTCTAACCTATTTACTTTGACACACTTTCCAAYTCTATTCATGTTGCTTAGATTTTTCCTGTCAGTCTTGGATACAGTTCACCTACAATGATAAACGTTTAAAGGTTTATTTCTATGTTGATCTATACTGATAGACACACAGACACAACATACATGCCCAACACCTACCRATCCATATGTTTACATGGATGTGTCACTTTTCATATCTGAGTTCAAACAGAAAAATCATAAATATCAACACTGACAAGAGACTGGCCTGAAAACAGAGTTCTTCCTCTGAGCCTATGGCAAGTTATTAGGGATCCTGGAAGCGCTGGATCCTACAGCAGCTCACTCCTCCCATCTAGTGTCCAGAGCAGAAACTGCGGCAGAAACGGAGTCCGGCTTCACCTGCTGTTTCCAAAGCATGTTGTGTGGAGGGGAGCTGATCTGCAAGGCTTTCTTTTGTTCCAGAAATTAAATTAAATTACAATGCCAGCTCTTGCAATATCATCTGGTGGCCCTAACCTAATGTACTGCCCTTTTAAAATGCAGCATTTGCTCCATGAATTACACTGCCTGAGCAGCCGTCCTGGTGTTATCTCAAAAAGAAAGAAAGAAAGGAAAAAAGAGAGAGAGAAAAAAAAAAAGATAGCTCTTCCCTGTTATTGCTGCCTCACGTTCCCCCATATACTTACGAGGAGACAGTGAACAGGGTTTCCTCTCAGATCAGTGTCCGGAGCCTGTAGCAAACTCCAGTCTCTTCCTTTATTGTAGGTGATGAAAGTTTTCACTTGGTTGTCAATCTTCTTGTTAGCCAAGAACATCCCCTTGATCCCTGCTACCTAGGAAAAATTGACATGGCTGAAAAATAGATTAAGCCGAAGCAGAGTGTAGGTACATATGTGCGTCTCTTCCCTGTCAAATCCAACAGGGATCACACTGTGTCGGTGTGATGGTTGTCAGGGCTAGAACTGCAAGTCCCGGAGAAAGGCAAAGTGAGGGACCACAGACAATGTAAGACCATCGCAGGTGGAAAGGTGACAGATGGAAGAGAAAACTTTCATTTCAGAAGCACCATGGGAACACAGTAAGATGGCAGTAATGCTACCTGTAAAGTGATCGTCTTTGAACTGGATAAGCATCCTTACCCTGAAAGATGAAATATATACAGGGCAATTATTCACCTCCAGTTGGAGGAAATGACAGCAGTTTTGGCCTTGCAAAGAAAACGGCACCACACACATACACATGCCATTTACTGCTTATATTCTCATACAGCCTGTTTAGGACCTTTTATCTAAGGATCTCAATAATCAGTAATTCAGCTTCATAATGATCTGTGTTTCAGCATCATAACTTTAGGCATATCAGTATTTTTATAGTGTTTTATATTTTGAGGACACAAAAGGCATCAACTTTTCCCAGGCCACCCAAAATGCTAACTGTAAAACCAGAAATAAAATCTTGGTCCTTTAATTATTCCCAGTGGTTTACGTGGCAGTTTTACTGGAGGAGACCTGAAGGAATATTTTGGAAAGATGTGATGTTAACAGACTCACATTGGAATCAAGCCCAAAAGTGCCTCAGTGGGGAGAAAAAAAGTCAACCAAAAACCACAACTCTTATTGCAGAACGTTCCTCATCTCAGCACACTGAAAATCAATAGCCCAATAGCTGCTGCAGCTTGCTAATGAATTTGTTAGGCTGTCATTCTGCAACCTGAGTGCTCCAACAAAAAGRGGAAAAGAAATCAGGGAGAAACTTCGTTTTCCATCAAGTTCACCAAGTCACCCACTTCATTCTTGCTCTGCAAAACTGGTACACAGAATCACTTACCAAGCCTTTTTATTCAGAGGTTATTACTTRAATGGCACCCTGTGGCAAATGGTCACAGCAAATTCACAGTTTGTTCTTGCCTCAAACCCTGGGCCTGACTCAGATGACAGCCTCAGTTATGGGTCTCAGTTTGGATGTTATCAGTGCTGGCAAGGACTATATGACCATGTCATGGGACTGCTAATGCTAATAGTATATTGCTACACTACACTGTTCACTCTAAATAGCACTTTCATCCTTGTGTAACTGCACTGGGGCACTCTGAGGCCACTTGAAGACTTAGGCATGATTTGCTATAAGTGGCAATATCCTTAAAAAAAGGAGTTAACTGATCTATAATTGATATATTGATATATTAGCATAAAAAGATAATATTTAAAATTTCTAACTGTATTTTTTTCCTGTACAATGACCTTTACAGAGTTTCTTTCATGTAGGCATTCTGATAAGAAAAGGGTACTCTTATCTCCCAATGGTATTATATAACTAGCCAGTGATGAAAAAATAACATTGTTCTGCATTTGCTACCAGAGGCCAGAGCCAATATCTCCATTTGTACCTTTCTTTGTTGTTGTACAGAAATGGTTGTGTTATAGTCCCTGTGAAATGCTGGCCATAAATGATTAAAGAACATTTTATATATCGGGTGATAAATGTGCCCTGAAATCCCATGAATTTTCCTTTTTATGATTCTAGTCATGGGCTGGGACTCAGAGTCTCTTCTAGAGTAAGCAAAGTGTATGTTATGCTGTCAGCCTTGGACAGCTTTATCTTTAGAAAGCCTTCACATGGTACGCATGGCCGTGTGGTCTCAGTGATGCACCTATTACATATTCACATGCATGACACAATCCCAGCTGTTCACACAACCAGGACAGAGAAGCCACTGCATCCACAAGTGGTCAGTGTGACAAGCACTTCAGAGGTCTCTCCAGAGGCTCCATAGGCAATCCAAACACATAGACGCTGTGCACAGACACACCATCTGCAGATGTGGTGAAAGATCCATACARCCCTCAAACACACACGTTGAAATACTTCCTTCACTTCCCATCACCAGCCTCATACTTCAAGAACACACTTCCCATCAGAAATACATACTGGGAAAAACAAGCAAGTCCCAGACATGTAAGGCATACACATACACGTCTCTCTCCTTACAGTAGCTCTTTCTTAAAGACTCCCATTCCCTCTTCAACCATTGGTTAAACTAAAAAAAAAAAAAAATAGTTTATTCAAGTTTCTTTCCACACTAATGAGGCCCAAGGTTACTGTTTTGGACATGGGTTCCCAACAGCAGCACYGTCTTGCTGCAGACCAGTCCACCTGCAGAGCCAAACCTTATTATTGGAAGGGTGCCGGAAAAAGAGAGAGGATTCAGAACCACTGGTCAGCAACTCCTGCTCTTGCCTTGCTCTTGAGAATGGTCTCCAGGATAGCCSCATTGCAACAGCAGACACTCTGAATATTGCTTCCAGTGTGTTACAGATGTATTAGCACTAGCAGGAGGTAGGAGGGAGCGCTATTCTCATGCCCTATCCTAAGAGGTAGGAAGGAGTCCCATAGAGAGTGAGTCTCCTCATGCTCTGCAAGGTCCAGCAGCAGAACARCCCACAGCCTGGAATAGCAATCTCCCAGTGAAAGGTTCCTGATGACTTACCAGGGAAGAGAATGGAGAACATGATGAGGCACCAGGGCAGAACTTCTATTATTTCTTCATAAACAATGCAATTTCCTCTTGAGCAGCATCAAACAGATTTATCTTTCATGTAAAATGGTTTAGGAGTCTACACAAACATATTCACTATAACGCAACCAAACAACCTTGCCTATTCTACTCAAGAAGCACATACATACAGACACATGTATATGCCTTTCTTCTGGCATTGTCTTCTCAAATAATCTTTCTCTTCTAAATAAACTGCTGTCACTGCACAAGGACTGATTTTTCAATCTCTCCACTGCTTTTTAATTTATCTATGGATTTTCTTCTTCTCCCTTCTTCATCTCCATTTACCCCTAAGCATTCATCATTTGCAACAGTCCTACTGGGACAATCACACTGGATGGCTTTCTGTTCCCTTCCAGCTGGAACATCAAATTTAAAAGACAGTTTGTGCCAGGTTCAGTGTCAGCCAATATTCTTTCTATCTAGATAATCAGCAGATATGACTCTACAAGTCTCATCTCATCAGTCTCAACCTGGGTTACTGTGTATTGTCAGCCTAATAAAACAAAGACTTTCCTTTCCCCCTGGAATGTAGGACACCTTTACATAATGCAGCGAAACCGCTTCTCAAGCTGACAGTAATAACAGGCAACAGACTTTCCATGGGCTGCCAGCACTGCAAAGAGGTTAACAGTAAAAACTTCCAAAGGACCAGGAAACGCCAGTGCCCATCTTCCTGCAATTCAAATGCAATTATGCACAACATTTCAGCTTTCTGTATGGATATTTCAAGGYAGTTTCCTGAAACCTGAAGGCAAACTGGCTAAGAGAGCTAATATCCAGCTGGTGAAGGAGAAATAAAGGAAGCATCTTCTTTTTCAAAGCTGGTTCATGGCTTTTGTTCCAAATGGTCAGTTAGGAAGATACCTGAAAAAAAAAGTTGACCCTTCTAACAGCAACTGAGGACCAAATTTCTACTAGTCAAAGTTCTGTCTCCAGAAACAGACAGTAGAGGAAGACGAGTATAAGGGCATATTAAAAGTCCTCTTCTTAGGTTCAGTAATCATAGAAATCAGTGCAAGTTAGCCTTCCTACAGGGAACTTTTGGCAGACTATACTTATCAGGAAAATGCTCAGGGTAAAGGGAACATCAAGATGAGATAGGAAGGTTCCAAGTTTCCCTGCTTATGTGATCTCTCAAGAAGGACTATCTAAAATCACTTAAATTCCCAGAATAGTCCAAGGTACGCAGCGTGACAAAGGTGGCTGAAAACTGCCGTCTCTTCATCCTTCTAAAACAAGAGCCTAGACTTTCAGAAATACAATAAAAATGAGAGAGTGTTAAAAGAGCCACAGATGGAGGTGCAGGGCACTTGGGGCAGCAGGATTCTGGCTGAGAAATTCAGGRTTCCTCTTAGGAACTCAGTGAACTATTCCATTACATCTTCCACTAGGCATCTTCCTACACAGACACCAGCCCTTCTTCACCTGACACCTATATAACAGTAACTAGTGAATTTGTTTGTACTATCAGGCTGGTTCTATCTGTGCAAATTCTGAGTCTAGAATTCAGCTGATTCCATTGAGATCCTTGAATAAAAGGAGAGTAAGACTATACTTAGCTGCTAGAGTCATAAGTCTCTGTTATTCACATGAATACTATGAGAGTGATGTGTAAGAAGGTGATTCATGTCACATGAACTCTTGAGTTAGGAATGAGAGACATTTAGAGTTATGACATACCTCATAGAGGTCAATCATCACATTGCCCTCCAGCCCTTGACTACTCTTGACATTTTCTAAGGCCAGGGTRAAGTAGACCCCTCGGGTGTCGGAGATGTACAGGTTGTACGTATCATTCTGGTTCCACTCTTGAACAGCTGCAAACACCTGATTCTCATCYGTGCTGATAACATGCATGTCCTGAGGAAAGAAAACAGGAATGTTACTAGAGAGAACTCTGCTCTGTCATTTTGAAGGACACCATGATAACTGTGGATGAGCAAGAAATATATATACATATATAGGCTGAAGTTTGATCAGAAACTGTACGCAATACACAGGAAAAAACAGAGAATTCCATTCACATTCTCTTCTGCCAATTTTCAAAGTACTAATTAACCAATGAGGTGTTATCTGAACATTTATATTGGCAATATAGCATTATACAGCAGTACATTTTTCTCTACTAAAATTTCCATTGTGGATAAGACATGATGTTTGGTAGCTCAYGTGCAAGGAGAGAAGAACGGTATGGAGACAGATATCTCTTAAGTTATTGGCTCCCATTTCTAGACCTGAGCCAGTGGTTGTGCAGAATCATTTGCTATAAAATCTTCATCATTTCTCAGTGCTGACACAAGTACATATAAGATTTTTACATTAAAGTGTGAACCTTAAAGAAGCGCCGAGGCTCAAACATGGAGGAGAGCTGAGGAGTTCTTCATAACAGAGTTGAGGTCACAGGAAAGAGTTAAGTCAACAAGTGAAATTTGTATTCCTACAGTAGGGAAAATCTCACCCAATATAGCCAAGTGAAGTGCACACAGGGCCACTAACAAAGACTTTTGGGCAGAAAGTCATTCCATTTAACATCCAGGCCTCCAAAGTGTGCTGCCAAGGCTGAGATTGGTGTGTAGTTCCAGAGTGCTGCTCTTCACTTCCAAACAGCCTCTGGAGCACTGATAAAGACCTTCTCTCCTTTTCCAGCGTCCACTTTTCTGCCTTGCTCTGCCAAAGGTGAAGTTGGAATAAATCACCTCTACAGTCCAGTGGGAAWGAGAAACGACTGAAGTTTCAAACTTTTTTGCCAAGTACATGAAAAATTGCACTGGCAAAAGGTCTTTTATGGTAATCCATTGCAGATTTCTGGTAAAAGCTTATTGCACATYCAGCAAAATATACTTGGGCTTCTTCTCCACAGCAGATAGTTTACACTCATTTTATGAGGTTTTCTGTATCGTTCGCAACATATCACATTATCCTGACATATTGAGAGCATCAGATTTGTCACAAGGAATACCATTCTCCTGAAAGTAATATGMAAATCAGTCATCTTAGCAGAACAATCTTTTTGTTTGTTTTAAAGTGAAACAAGGGCTTTGAGGGAGGAGTATTCAAAAAAAGAAGGTATTTATCCTGATACAGAGTGATAGTTTCCCTGAATTCTTCTCTGCTCCAACAGAAATTCATTTCACTGACATACATAAGGGAAGAGAAAAGGAAAGCAGAGCAAGGCAACTTTCTCATTCAGTCATTGCCATCTTCAGGGGCTCTCCATGCATCTCTCTACAGAGAGGCTAAGCATTCCCTCCCTCTGCCTCAGTACATGCTGGAAGTACATTAGTATTCAGGTCTGCCATCTGTCCTTCTTGTCTTTCCAAAGACAAAAGATCACAATATTGTGCATGAGTTTGATCAAATGTCTGCGCAAATAACTAAAGGGCAAGGCTTTTGGAATCACTAAATACGCTTCAGGTGCCCTTTTTTACATTTGGTCAGAGAACTTTTCTTCTTGGCAAGTTAAAATTGCAGGGTTGTGTAATGCTTGGTTTATCCTGTCCATTACTGGGATGGTCAGCTGTTCTTAAGATGTGTATTTCAGGATTTTTTCTCTTTTTTGGGTGGTTGTGCTTATTCCTTCTTCCATCAGGGTGTGCTTTTTAAGATGCAAAATGAAAGTACCACAAATTCAACCCCATTCAACACATGACTGCTTTAAGGGCATGCCTTTCTTTTAAAGAGACATTGCTTGTCTTGCTTCTGTATTAACAGATATCTGCTCTGTGCATGTCTAAAATGAAGCAACTTTGAGAATCCTGTGTGCATGTTTAAAGCGTATATTTTTATTCTCATGACTTATTACAATAAATCACATTATAAAGTCTATAGCAGTGCCCACACTGTGGTGCTGTAGTACAGAATGAGCAATAGCAACCTCTTGCAGGATTTAACAGGTCTGAATAAAGACCATCTCCAGGGTTAACACAATCTGTACGCAAATTTACAGATGTATTCATACATGGGAGATGATTCCAAGTTCACTCAGGCTTTTTACACAAACTATCCATCAGGCTAACAATTAGTGCCTGCAGCAAGAATATTTTCAGTGTGGATTTGCTATAGACCATTCCTGCCTGAGAAGCAATATCAGCTGCCAAGCTGCCCACTGTCGCACCACTCCAGTGCCAGAGTGACAACCAAGAGAGCCTGATATTTCAGTCTTCAATTCCAGAAGYTGCTCAGTGCTGTTTACCATATTTGGTCCTACTTTCTTAGTGGAAGAAGATAAAAGAGAATTTAGGCATAAAAGGAGCTGCTTCTTTCGATTCCTTCGAATAGCACAGTGCTTTGTGCATTTTTAATAAAAGCAGCTATCTTGCTTTGATAGCAGCCTCCCAGACAGCCACAGTTTCCCTGTAGCTTCTTCCAGGCCAAATGTAGCTCTTCAACCTTTGAAGATATTCTGAGATTGTGACAAAGCATCTTATCTCCTTAAATATCTGCCTCTTTCTTTGGGTCTAATAACACAAATATATTGCTCCCCATTCACAGCAAACAAATTGAAATTTCATAGTAGCACATTCTCCCTGTCTCTCTCTCTCTCCAGAGATCTCAGAGACGGTGGACAGTTGGAGAAGCAGGGGGGCAAAAAAGGCAACTGGAAGCAACCAGTCTCTTTACAGATGGTCTGAATCAGCTGTAAATGACAACTCTGGACATTGTCACGATTGTTGAAAAAATGCAGTTCCTTTGCTAAGGGCTATTTCAAAAAAATACCTGTTTAAATTTGATTTATATTGTCAGAGTAATTCTTTCCTGTTTGCACAGGAAGTTTTACACTATGTTTTAGAGTAATACTTTTAAACATGACTGAAGATTTTGGAACAAAGTTTAATATAAAGGTCAAGGTTTGCCTAAGAGTTTGGAAACAGGTACACTGAGAATTTATTCCCCAAATATGTTATCTTCTAGGAAGAACGGGTGTTGATCTCTGCTGGAAAGTTTACTGAAGCCTACTTAYACAGGATAGGTCTCGTGTGTCTTCTGTGTTGTGTGGCTTCTGGCAGAGTTCACAAAATCCTGTGAACTTGGGTTTTCAGTCGATGTAAGCAGAAGCAAGGCAATGGCAGAGCAGGTAAGGTGTGGCATTGAGGGCATGGGTTTGAGCTGCAATTTGGGTATGATGAAGATCACTTCGAGTCAATCCACTCTAAATGTGGTGAGGAGTCAAAGAMAGTCAGCTGCGATAATAGACAAATTGCTCCCTTGAATATTTATGTCTATAAAACCTGGTGTTATTTCAATTTCCAAGTATGGGCTGACTTGCACTTGTTTTCTTTTCTTTTGGCATTTTCAGAAGTTAATCGTAGATTGACATTTACCTTCAGAGGTTAGATCAGGCATACAAATCACAGGATCATTTGCCACCTTTGAGCTTAAGTTTCTTTAAAGCCATGCTATCAAGAAATAGAAAGACCCTCAAAAAAGCATCTTCTGTCTTTGTCTTAGAAGCCATTAGAAGTGCAGCTGCAAAACTGTGATTTCTTCAAAATGGATCACTTTTTCCTCTCCTGACACATTTTAGATAGGTCTCTTAAAAAAAAAAATCCATCTCCAGAAAGCAGCAATATCATTTCAAGCTCCAATGCCAATTTACCACTGTTCTTAATTAGGGAAGATATGAAGCAGACACACAAAGAATCTCTTTGCTTTCCCCTCATTAAAATATACTAATGAGGCAAAGCACAAAAAGTGACCCACACAAGATAGGAACAGGAAAATGGAATTTTAAGACCAAAGAAATCCCCCTCAAAACACTGCTAGCTAATCGTAATGAAATGGGAATTGACAGGGACCACAGCATCAGTCTACATTTCATGCTGATGCCCTTGACTAGCTAAAGCGCTCACTTTGTTTCGAGTTCTTTTCTGCTTACTAATGTTCTCCTAAAGAGGGACGACATTTTCATTCATTGTAATTCACCCTGTGATTATTAATAGGATCCAATAATTTCTGAACAATCAAAATATCTCTAGGTACATACAGGCATTCCAGCAACAGTAGCCTACCTTAGGCAAGGAATACTTTGGCAGCTTCATCTGTGCAAATGCATTCCTCCTATAAGAAACATAATAATGTGGTCTTCCTCCTGATGTCAGCTATGAGAGAAGAAGGTAAGTTATCATCAGGATTTTTTTRTAGTCTTTTTTTATTAGCATGAAAAATATCAAGCAGAACTGCTAAGGCAAATATCACTGTATTGGTGGCTGTGGCTTAAAACTGTTGCATTGTGATAGATGATAAATAACTATTGATCAAACTGACTACRGCTTAAAAAGAAAAATACAGTAAGAAAAATCCCATTTTCTGCAAAGACAAAGGCTGGAATTTCAGGTGAAAGCCTGGGGAAGTTGAAGTCGTGGCTTAATTTCAGTCACTAATGTGCCACAAAACGATCTACTCTTTGCAGAGCTGCTGTGTAGGTTACTGGTCAGATCAGCAGACTGGCAGGCAGGACACTTGATTTCTATTTCTGCCTGGCTCTGGTTCCTGTGTGGCCCTGCACAAGCCACTTGCCTGTTTTTCCCAATCAGTTAAGTATTCACAGCTCCTGAACACAGGAGATGATGTGGTGATTTGGTAGTTCTGTGAATCAGGCTATTTAAGTGTATTAATACTATCAGCAATGCTTTGAAAATGCTGTTTTAAAGCAACGTGTGGTTTCCTTTTCCACTCCCTATTAAAAGAGTGGAGGAGGAGGAAKAAGGGGAGGCTGATAGTGTTATCTGGCTCTCAGGGCTGCTGAAGCATAATCAATGTTTGCAAAGTACTTTGAAATCCTTGGATGAAAGATACTGAAGATTAAATATTCCAAGGGATCCTCCATGCAGAGCTTTGCTTTAATTACCTACTATATGGTCTTATCAAGACTTCTTTTTAGTAGTGAATCTTTAAAAATGCACTGCAGTAGTTTTAAATGCAGGATACATTAGAAAAGTTCATAATAGATTAGGTAAAAGTAAGAACTATTTCTTAATCTAACTAA